AATAAATAACTGGGATGCTTTCCTGACTAGGAGGTCTTTACTGACTTTGCTGCCTGTATGGCAGTGCTTGCAGCTGCAGCTGTGTAAACTCCCACGTGCCTAGCTGTTTGCCTCCTTGCCCTGGCTCCATGGCAAATGCAGCCCTTAGAGCAGCAGAGCAGATGAAGGGAAAAATTTTTGTAATCATGAGACGCAGAGGTGTGCTCTGTATGTGGCTGGGGCTGCCGAATTGAATTTGAATTAAATCCACTGGCTGTATACAGTTAAATGCAAGCTCAGTTGAGATTTTTGTGCTCTGGTAAAGTATTTGCTGTTTGCTTTTAGAGATGCAAGAAGCTCACTGAACCCTTTTAGTGTGAATTTTTTCTCCTCTCAGAGTAAGAATGAGAATGCGTAGTTTAATTGACTGCACTTGGTTTGGAACCCTGCTGTCCAGGGCTGAAAGAGTTACTGAAAACAAACTTGTAAAATTCTAATCATTAAAGTGACATCAGGAGGGAGGGCAGGGAAGACTGAAGAGGAATCAGCTTCTTTGGTAGTGTGCCAGCTGCCATGATGAGTGTACTGTGTACAGCACTGATGTATCCATAAACACTTAAAAAAACAGAACAGAAATGACATCGCACAGCAAGAGAACATGTAACCTTTAACTTAATCATACAGAGGAAAAGTTTGTTTCTCTGAGGGGGGACTCAGGGTTTCAGTGATGACTAAGCTGTGCCCACATTATTATGCAGTTTGGTTCTAGGATAATGACTTTTTTATTGCCTGTATTACCATGTGTTTGAGGCCACCCTGGACTACACAGCGGGACCTTGTCTCAAAAAACAACAAAGCGAAACAAAACTTGCTAAGAATGTTTTAAATCAAGACTGGGTTCAAAACTTAATTGAAGATTTTTCTGCATCTGTGGACAAGATTACAAAAATTTTTCCCTTCATCTGCTAATGTAAACTACCTTGATACATGTGCTGAGCTAACCACCTGTTCTGGAAAATAGTCCCTGGTTTGTGGAGATTTTCCTGATCCAGTCTGTAATCTTGCTAGCATCTGAATTTGCACAGCTATCCAAAGATCTGAAACACGCAAACTGCCTTTGTGGTGTCCTGTGACATTATCTGTGGCAGGAACTTCTGTGAGCTCCGTCAGACAGAAGAGGACATAGAAAGAGAAGAGAAATGGGACTGAATAGGCCTAACTAAATATGTAACTGGTAAACTTCAAATTACGTTCTTTATCATAGCAACTAAAGGATGTGTTGATCTGACTGAATTTCTGAGACTTCAGGACAGCAAACTATTTAAAAAGCATCTTCCTTACCCTACTAAGTGCTGAGATGTAAAGCCTATCACATATCCACAGGTGCATGCCAAGAGGACACCATAGTTATTCTGTGGTCATTTATAACTGACTTCCTTGACCTACTGCAAGTTTTAACCTGACTTTTCCTTGATGGAACTTGAATTAATGTCTGCTTTAGGGTGATGAGATGTGGAAGTGTACGTCAGTATTGTGTATAAAATACATCTGCAAAGAAGAGCAGCATGCAGGAGGCTTGCAGGCCAGAGTGCATTGTGCTTGTCTGGTTAAGAGTTGAGAGCGGGTAGACTATTTCCATGTTTGCTGACAGTATTTACTGTGAAACTGTTGGCAGAGCTGGCTTTTACCGGGGCTTTCTTGTTGCCAGGTACTTTATTACCACGGCTGCCCTTAGAGCCGGGCATGACATTGCTCACCATCAGAATCGAGAAGATTGGCCTGAAGGATGCTGGGCAATGCATCGATCCTTACATTACAGTCAGCATTATCGGGTCCTGTCCTAGATCCCCGATCTCCCAAACGGGTGTATGGCAGAGGTTAAATAAAAAAAAAAAAAAAGAAAGACAAATCGTATGCTTTACAGGGCTCCAGGCGAGTCAAAACCCTTTAATTAAGCTTGAGGCTTCGAGGGAAAATACAAAGGATTTTCTGGTATAAGTAGATTTTCAGTCTACTTATATTAGGACCAAGGACAAAGGGCGGAGAAACTGATGAAAATGCAGGCAATGAGCAGGACCTTGAATCAAGTCACTTCAGTAGCACTGTCCTATCATGAAGACATGGTAGAAGTGAGACTGTAGCAGTAATCTTCGCACTGCAGTCTCTCCCTAGTTAATTGTGGTTGGAGCCAAGTGTCCGCAGCTGTGGCCTTATCTTGCCCTTTGAGGTATCTCTGGCCTCACAGGCCACTACAGGCCTCAGCCAGGACCAGTGATTCATAGAGGTCCACTTCCTATGAATCAGCTCCCATCGCCAGGCAAGGGGGCTAGGCCTAGGACAGACTCACAGATAAACATAGAAAGCCAAGTAGTAAAATTTAAATCCTGCCCAGAGCCACTTTGTAGTGGTCTCTAACACAGCATAAAGGGTAATGAGTCGGGTTTTCCCTCTTTCACATTACTTCTAACTTGCTGCACTTTTTTGAGGCATGTCTTGTAATTAGTGATAGAATTTTCGTCATGAAACAGAACCATCTGATAGGATTTGATGTGGTGAGGAAGACAAGAAGTATGAAATAAAAATAGGCTTTATTTTAAGAATGTGGGGAGAGACCCCTTGACCCTCCAGGGTCTGACATCCTCTCCGCCAGACACGAGGTGTGGGGGCATACATGTAGCTTAGGTTCTGGGTGGTGCCTAAGGGGCATTAGTGATGCACAGGTAGCCCATTGTACTGATTTCGGCCTCAGGTAAATTGCCTAGGGGTGGGGAAAGGTGACCTCACGATAGAGATCCTTGATTCTGCCTCCAAGGCTTTATCAGCTACAGTGTCCCATCTAGGGCAAAGACATTTCATCTATGGTAACTCATTTTAATTCACTTTACAATGAGGCAGAATTTCTGCAAGAAATATCGCTCCATCACTAACCTTTTTTGACAAGTTTACTGAAAATAGTTTCCTTTTCCTTTTTTGTAATTTGAACCCTTGCTTTGGAGATTGGCTTGTGTCTGACTTTTGTTCTCTTCAAATTTACTGTGACAGTTTTTTTCTTTGGCACATACACTTTCATGAGCCCTGTCTGCCATATGAGGCAGTTCCCTTCCTTGCCAGGAGCTGGTCTCTGGGTGTGTGTGTGTGTGTGTGTGTGTGTGTGTGTGTGTGAGAGAGAGAGAGAGAGAGAGAGAGAGAGAGAGAGAGACAAGGCTCTGTTCTCTCTCTGCCCTCCCCCCCCCCCCCCCCCCGGTCTCCCCACCCCAGCCTCTAGCTCACCTTGCTGTTCTTCTGACTCTGGGGTGCTGACCAGAACCACACAGTCTCCCTGCCAAGGGCTTCTGCCCTGTGAAGGTTGTTGAGCCCTTCCCTCCTTGGCTGAACCCTGTGCTCTGTCTTCCCACCCTCCTGTCCCTGAGGCCTCTGACCCCAGGCCCGTGGGAGCACCAGGCCTTCAGGGCATCTTTAGTGTGGACAGGGAAGCAGGTGCAGCCCAGCAGCATCCAGGCCACGTGGGCCCTGGGCACCACTGCCGTACTGAGGAGGTGACAGGCATCTGCTTGGTACTTGCCCTTCCCCTCTCTGGTGCAGCAGTGCTCTTATCCCAGAAGAGAGAGGCCAGCGGTTACACTCTTTTGTTGCTGCTGAACATATTTGTACATCACTTAAGTTTTTTAACAAATAGTTACTTGTTCCCAGAATTGTAATCCCAGCTGCTTAGGCAGCTAAAGCAGCAGGATCATTTGAGCCCAGGGGTTTGAGAGACTGGCCTAGGAAAGACAGTGAAACCTGATGCCAAAATTTTAAAAAACAAAACAAGTAATTCCATTATCCAGAAATAACTGCTCAGTACAAGTGAATTACTTTAATCTATAGTTGGAGGCAAATCAGAGAAACATCAGGGCTGAAGTTAACTGGAGAGAACTTGTATCAGTCATAGAAATAAGCACAGACTCACAGGAGAAAAAGGAGTTCAGCCATAGAGCAGACGTGACTCTACTGTGCCGCGATGCTGACTTCTGGCATTGCCTCTTGGCTTGGATGGACACTGTGGAACACGCTCGGCTCCGTGCTCTCAGCTGGCCTTTGGCAGAGCCATGTAACCCAGTTGGAAATGTGTGCTGTAGCACACAGGAGCACTTCATGGTGACGTAGTGCATGCCGAGCTGCTTTTGCACAGATGCTGAACTGGACCATGCCTGGGAGGGCTGAAATAGGCCAGTGGAGTAACTTAGGTGCCCTGAGACACCTATGTAACAAACAATGTATGAACACCCAGCAGTCTTGAAGGGAGACTGTATATTGATTAACTGGGATTCCTGATCCTGAACATTATAACCTACATGATGAGTTAGTGTCCTTGTTGTGGTTTTAAATGTTATGGTAACTGTAACCAGAACTTAGGTGGTGTACATGACTTTTTTTTTTTTTTGTCTTTTTGAGACAGGGTCTCTCTGTGCAGTTCAGGCTGGCCTTGAGCTCACTTTGTAGCCTAGACTGGTTTCAAACTCATAATGATCCTCCTGCCTCAGCCTCCTGAGTGCTGGGTTTACAGGCATGAGGCACCATGCCTGCCCATGACATTTTACTTATTGATGAAAGGTTCTGTTGGAGGTTCTCATGTCCATTTTTGGTTCTTGACTGAAATATAACAAGAAAATTCTGAAAATGTTCAAGCTCTTTCCAAGTCATGCACATGATCAATATTAGAAATTAGGGACAGAGCTACATTTTCACAAATCATTTGCACTGCAGGTTTTTATTGCACCAGAAGTGGTGGGCTGTTCTGTAGGGGCATGAGCTCCTAACCGTGCAGACCACGCCATGTCTGCCACCTGCTCTGCACTCATTGGGCCAGGCAGGCTGTGCTCCTTACTCCAGAAGTCTCCTGCCCTGACCCATGCAGTTTCCTGCCCACCAGCAGCAAGTGGGAGTCTGTTCTCCAGGAGCCCTGCAGGCCTCTGTGGTTTCTTGACACTCCTCAGTGTGTGCCTGAAAGCGTCCTGACATAGAAACCTGTTTCTCTTTAGATCTGAACAGCATAGATCTGATGCCTGTGCAGGACATGCCTGTGGCTTCAAGAAAGGAGGACACATACGTCCATTTCAATGTGGACATCAAGCTCCAGAAGCATGTGGAGAAGCTGACCAAAGGTATCTCTGGGATGCAGGGGTTTGGCCGGCTGGCACACCATGGTGTATGAGCACAGTGTGGTGTGGTGTGGCACAGGTTGTGTCTGGCAGAGCTGTGTTCCATGGGTGTCAGGAGACACTGACTTGAGAAATTTGAATCTGTGAGTACTTTGTAAAAACGTGGGAACTAGGAATCACGTGATCCAGGAAACACCCTGGAAATGCTCTTTGGTGTGAGATTTCATTGCCTTCTGCAGCAGAGTGGGAGGTCTCCTCATGTTGACAGCGGGGTAGAGGGTACTTCTGCAGGTCCCCACGGCCTCACTGGCCTGTCCTAGGGCTCCTGGCCCTGGCAGGTCATTGGTGGGAAGCTGAGCAAAGACAGCACACATTTCTGAAGCACCCAGATTACATTTCCGTGTTCAGTGTTCACTAGAGTGCAGTGCTGCTGCTGGACAGACTCATGTTTACTTGGAAAAATTAGAATGGGATAAAAAGTTTGAATCCCTGCCTCAAAAATATTGAATTTGGAGAATTTTGTTTGAGGGGAAGAGATGCTTCAGTGTAAGAAACTCTCTAATGCCTGTTGTGTGTGGTACACAGTGCTTTGGGCTCTGCTCATCTGTGATGCCTTTGTGTTCCTCTTCTTGTATTTGACGTCTATACTCCTCAGTGACTGTGCTTAGGCAAGTAACTGACTCAGCCTGGCTCAAGAGACCTGTGTTGTGCTTGTACAGCAAGGCGGTATGATCAGAAGCAGCGCTTGGACCCAGCAGTTTGGGGGCTGCTACACTGGGTTAGAGTCGCAGCCCCGCACCACACTGGACACAGGTCATTTTGTCAAATCCTGCCTGTCCCTCTGTTCCCTGCAGTGGTCAGTGAGAACACGTGGATCCAGGAGGACAAGCTGGCCATGGTTCACCAGCTTGTGTGTTTCCCCCCTCAGGTGCAGCCATCTTCTTTGAATTCAAGCACTACAAGCCCAAGAAGAGGTTCGCCAGCACCAAGTGCTTCACCTTCATGGAGATGGATGAGCTCAAACCCGGGCCAACTGTGATTGAACTGTAAGTGGCATGTGGACGGCTGAGCACTGATCTCAGGTGTCCTCCCAGCCCCGCTTCCCTGTTGGATGACCTTGCAGATCAGTCACCAGGTATTCTAAACAATGCTCTCTTTTGTGGTTACAGCTACAAGAAACCCACTGACTTTAAAAGAAAAAAATTACAGTTATTGACCAAGAAACCACTTTATCTTCACCTGCATCAAACTTTGCACAAGGACCTATCCTCACCTGAATACCCTGGAACTCCTGTGAATCTTACCAGCCAGTAGCACATGCCACAGCTCTGTAGGATCTTTACTCTCTTGGGCAAGAAGTGGGCTGTGCCCACCCAGCAGACCAGTGAGTACCTGGCACGGCTGCAATTTGGAACCGAGTCTGGCGTGTTGCAGAGCAAGTCCCCTTTGGACCTAGGCTTACTGTAGGTGCCGGACCATGCTCTTCTCTGTTAATTGTGCGATCCGTAGTATGTTTTATAATTCGCCTCTGCCCCTACCTGGCTTCCCAGAACAGTACTGTTGTGGGAGGCGTGCTCATCTTCAGACCCCACACAGCAACAAGAATGTGCTTGAGTTTACACACCTGCTCCCTGGGGCCGGGCTATAGGCCCCCCGAGTGGGATGGGCTGCTGGACTTCCGGCTCTGATGTCCCATGTGGAATAGTATGCCTTGCCTAAATCAGTGTCCCCAAGTGGTGGCTGTGATTTTTTTCCCAGATAACCAGATTATTTTCCTGACAGTGACATATTTTAATCGAGTTGATTACCTGTTTTACATCACATTGTTATTTTTTCTGATGATTTTAGAGTTAATATTGGAAGCATCTCAATAAACACACCTTTTTAGATGGGTTTACAGTGTCTTAAGTCTTGTCATCTGAAAATAACTGTGTCCAGTACAAATGAGATACTGCAGGAATAAACGCTGTTTATCTGACAAGTGATTGTGAAACTTCAAACCTGTATACATTTTCTTAGTGATGAGTATGGAAAATCAGTAGACATTTTAATTTTTTTTAATATAAGTAGCTAGGATTGCCATTTATTTCCTGTTTAGATATATTGGTATTCATCCATTCAAAAATGCATAGGTCATCAATATTTTACAGTTTTGATAGTTTACATTACTTTTGACTTAAGAGGCATAAATGAAACTTTATAGCACACACGAAGTAAATACTAGATACATACCACATTGAGATTTTGATATTCACTATTTTAAACCCATGGTGCATAAGGGTGCACTGCTGGTTCCTGCCTGTTTGAAGCTCATGTCCTGGCCCTGGTTACGCAGTTCAGTGTGTTTGCCTCTGACTGAGGTGACCGTGGCCCACGTGCCTCAGAGTTCTGCTCTACTCTGGTGCCCTTGAGGCCCCTCCGCTCACTGGGTGATGCTGACCAAATGGAGGGCCTGACAGAATTCTTAGCCCACTTCAGCCTTGCCTTTCATCTTGCCTGGATAAATGGGAACTACCACAGCAATTCAGACCACAGTACCTCCAGGGGATGAACAACTGGCCTTAATAAGTTGCTTTTTTCCACTCAGTTCTTAAACTCTCAAGTGTCTAATTCCAGGCTGTGGGCCCCTTGGGGTGGGGCAAGAGCCATCTGTGTTGTCTCCACACACCCTCTGAGGAGCGTGGTGGGGTCCTGCCCTGTGGGGTCCTCACTTCCTTTGGTTTGATGTTCCTGAGACCTAAAAACATAAGCTTGGAAACCCACTATTAAAATGTAGCCAAATGGCCGTGTCATGCTCCTTCATTGTGGGATGCAAGGCACATTGCAGGGCTGGGTCCTGCAGCAGTGCAAGGCTGGGTCCTGCACAGCTGTACATGCAGGCAGGGTGGGGGCAGCATGTATTAAGCAGAGCTGGGGTGCAGACAGCGAGGTGGCAGGAAGTTAGCACGCACCACCGGGCACCAAAACTGGTGCTCTAGCGAGGGCAGCCAGCCCAGGGAGCACCCTCAACGAGGCAAGGTAGCAGGGAAACCCCGGAGCAGCCAGGAACTGACTTCTCAGGTCCTGAGGAGGCACTGCTGAGGGTGGGTTGCTTGGCCCATCCTGCTTTGCCTACCCTGGCATCCTTGGCCATGCAGGGGTGGGGTGGGTGAAGGGAGCGATGATGACAGGCTGGCCCTGACTGCTGGGCCTTCTGGGGCCTCCAGACCTGGCTGCCAGTAGGAGGCAGGATGAAGTACCCATAGGGCTTTGCACAGGAGGGTAATTCTGAATAAAAATGTAGATTTACCCCAATTGACATGTTTTGAAAAAAATTTCCGTGCTTGCTTCCTGGTTGCATACTACTAACAGGCCATCTAGAAGTGGAAGTGGACTGTGGGTACCAAAGAGGTTGACAGATCATATCCAGAGGGCGCATTGGTGATACTGTGCTGCTGTGCTCGAGTTGAAGATGGCCAATGGTGTTGCTGGTGTCCGTGGTCTCCTGACATGAATTGAGATGGAGGCTGGTGGATGGAGTTCTTTTCATGAAGGATTCCTTAATCACCTTTGAGCTGAGTCTCCCTGACTTCAGGGGCCTCACCTTTCCAAGTACTATCTCAGGCAGTGTGAATATACGTGTGTGTGTGTACATGAGGCAGAGGTCCATCCCACACCGAGAGAGCTGCGAGGCCAGGCTCTGGGCTCCCCAAGGTCATCCCAAAACAAAGGAAGGGAAAGGAGAGTGTCGCAGTAAACCAAAGCTCAAGGAGCCTTGTATAATCCCAGCTTCCCCTGGAGCCTAACCTTAACATTAAATGTGCGGTTTACGCTACTGTGCTCCACAAGCGTTTTGAATCAGAAAAAATTTTTTTGAGATGGTGTGTCATTATATTGTTTATGCAGGTCTAGACTCAATGTGGTAGCATAGGCTGGCCTTGAACTCACTCCTGCCTCAGCTTCCCGAACTGGGATTACAGGTGTGTGCCACCACATCCAGCTTAGATCTCTTTTTAAATTCTCAGAAAAACCAACAGCAGGAGAAACATTGAAGACTGTGGTTCCCCACACCTGGCATTCCCATCAAGTGCCACTGGGGAACCAGACAGAAAATAGCACCCTGTGGAGGGTTCACTGTGAGTTGCAAAGAAACATAAATTTCTTTTGTTTACAAAAAGCGCCTTCTGGGCCGGGGATTTATAACTCAGTGTATAAGCTCTTGCCTGGCAAGCAGGAGGTTGAGAGTTCAGTCCCCGGTACCAAAAAAAAAAAGTACCTCCTATCATTAGAGATCAGATGGATTCTTACCCTTCCCTTTTGACATGAAAATAAGTCTCTGAAGCAAAAAGTAAAAGCAGTATATTAGTGTTTTTTTGGTTTTCTTTTTCTTTTTAGTATATTGTTTTATAGCTCAGAAATGACTGCAAGGCTTTGAGCATCTTATGGCCAAAGTTTAGAATCAGCTCACTATCTGATAAATTGTAAGCTATTTTCTAGGCTTGCTCTTAGGTCAGAAAACAAACCAGCAAAATTGATTCAGAAAGTTCTTTTAAAAATTGCTGTGCTTAGTGTTTGCAGAGCGAAGCCTCAGAAAAGTGTGCAGACAGTGTAGTGACAGGTCCCTGAATGGTGTGGCAGGCCCACTTGCAGCTTCAGAGACATCAGGGGTTGAAGCTGACACCGACCTCAGGGCAGAACCTGCCAGGACAAAACAGAACTCAGCCCACAGCTGCGTAGCTGACCGCAAGCAGGGTAGAAGCCTCATGCTCCTCATTCACTTTTTCTCAGATTATGCTATTATATTCTTCCCAGTTTTTGGTTCCTATTCCTTGAAAGTCAGTTGTAGGATGTGAGAAAGAGAAGACATGCATTTTATAATGAAATTTATTTTTACAATCATGACACAGCTTTACTTCTTTTACACTCCTTAATGCAATCACGGTAAAAGAAAAATAATAGAGCCTGATGTCAAACAATTGTTATTTGTATTGTAAACTCTCACTCTTGGAGCCCAGAAGTCACCCGTGGGTCAGGGGTCACGGGCTTCCTCCGGAGTGACGCAGCCTGCAAGCCTTGGCACCTCCAGTCCAGGGAGCCAGAGTTCCAACAGCTCTCACAGCAAGGAATGAGCCAGTGGAGGCTGGGAGTATTAACAAACAAGTTTTTATTAGCTATTACTACAAAGGACATCAGCGGGGTGGGAGGGAATAAGGGGTGATCTTTGAATAAACATCTTTAAGTAAGTCTTTTCGACCAGGATGGGGCGAAGCTTATAAACACCATGGCTCTGTATTCAGCTGGTACACTAAACAATGGTCATGGAAATATGTGTTCTTCAAGCATTTCCAGAGGAAATAGTCATTTTTATTACATTCTGAATCATTTTACACATACCTATGCTATATTAACTAAAACTCAGGGATCATTATTGCACATTTTAAAGTTGGAATGTCACTGTAGCTTAAGAGGCAATTTTAGAGAGGAAGATGAGACTTCTGAATTGTTTGGCTCAAAAATGCGCACTGCTCAAGGGAGCTTAGTACTAAAAACCTACTAAAATGAACTTCCTTTTAAAATGAATTCCAAAGCCCATAAAAACCTTGGCTCTCTGAGTAGTGGGGCCATTAAGGGCTCTGCCTCAAGCTGGGGGCAGGTTCCCGGCTGCTCTGTGGTGAGGCTGGGGCCTCTTTGGGCTCCGAGAGCAGGGGCCCCCCTGTGGCAGGCATCTGTGGGTAGTCCTGGAGCCCAGCGGGCGGTGGTGACATTCCAGGAGCAGAAATGAAGTACTCTTGGGGGCCGAGCGGGCCTGGAAGCCTGAATGGCACAAGTCCGGGCAAGAACTGGCAGGAGTGCAGCAGCAGGTCGCGGCATCCAAGCAGGATGCCAGGCGCCTACTCTCTTAAGCCCAGTGGTGGGCCCATGCGTGGGACTGGAAAGCAAGAGGCACACGCAGACACGTCCTGAGGAGCAGCCCAAGTCTGCTCAAAGTGTTTCCCTTCCCCTAAGCTAGGAAGCCGAGTGATGCATTGGACTTCACAGATAAGGGAAACTGAGGCTCAGTATGGCTCAACTACAGCCTGACCCTTCCTTCTCCCGCTGCCATAGGCCCATGATGGCCTGGGTGAACAACCCGGTGGGACTGGCACTTCGGCTCTGCAGGAAGGACCCTTCCAGTGCGAGTAGCTGTGGAGGCTGCACTCAGCTCAGAGTGCTGGACCTCGTGCTGCGAGTCTGCAGGGCTGCAGCTGCCGATCAGGACAGGAGAGGAGAGGACAGGGCAGGTGGTGGTGCCAGCCCCAGTGTCCTACCGTACGGAATGTCAGTGGTGGCGGCGGAGGCATTGGCCAAGGCCTGAATGTTGGTGGTGGCGGAGGCCCACAGTCCATGGGGTGCGTCATGGGGCCTCCCAGGAACGGGGACCCTGGATAGGCTGGGGGCCCCTTCTCGGCCATGCTCACCTGCGAACAGAAGCAGGCCCAGTTCCCAGCTCGGCAGTGACCCTGGGTGCCCATTCCGAGAGGAGTCAAGGGATCCCGGCCCCTGCCAGCTCCTACGTCAGCAGCATGCCACGCAGCGAGCACGCCTACCACGCTGTTCCCACTCTGGTGTGGAGAGATGAGCTTCAGAAGGGCCAGCGAGCGCTGCACCAGCTCGCGTCACTTCTGTCAGCACGAGCGCGGCCCTGGGCATGACAGGGGCAACGAAAGGGCTCCCGGGGGCCAGGGATCCCTGGGGAGAACAGGGAGCTGCCTCGGCCAGTGACACTGCATAGGGAGTGGCTGGTTGAGGTGCCTGTGCCTGCGCTGACCAGAAGGCAGGCCACAGAGCTCTGACCATCACAGGCGGCCCCCTGTGGTGTGAAGGCTGCTGAGGCAGCAGTGTCAGGACCCAGGAGCCACAGCAGCCTGGGCCACCTGGGGCTGGATTCATGGTCCCTGGAACTAGCATCCCACTCCCACCAGAGCTGACACCCACCTCATTCCGATCATTCCAAGGGGTGGGCCTAGCACAGACCCCGAGGACCCTCACAGCTGCTCCCCAAAAAAACAAGAAAAAGTGAGTGTGGTCATACACACCCGTCATCCCGGCACTCTGGAGGCTGAGGCGGGAGGACTGCTAGGGAACTGGAGGTCAGCTCTGGGTACTGTGAGGTCAAGACCAGCTTGAGCTGCATAAGGAAACTCTGACTCAAAATAAGTAACAAGCAAAAGACACAAGGCACGGGCTGCCCAGGGTGTGAGGCGTGCTTTGCCCCAGCACTCAGCACGTGCCCTGGACCCCAAGCCATAGCGAAGGCCCGAGTCAGATGGCGACAGCTGAGTCAGCCTGGGGTCTCTATGCCCAGGCCCGCTGAAGAACAGAGAGGAAACCGAGGGCACATTGAGTGGCTTGGGCGAGGCTCCCAGGCTCGCCTTGCCGTCGTCCATGCCCTTTGCCAGGGAGGAGCCGCGGGAGTCGCTGTAGGCCACAGGCCCGGGACCGGGATCTGGGGGCAGAGAAGGCACTCAGGGGACTCTCCCAGGACGTGGACGGAAGAGGCCGCGCGCACACTCTTGGAAGTGCCCTCGGGGACGCTCGGGGACAAGGCAGAGCCCCCTCCACTGGCCCTGGAGGGAGCTGAGGCTTGACCGGCTCTGACCGGGCTGCTGCAAGGCCCATGGGAGGCGCGAGGCCACGGATCCCAGGCACGGGAGCCAGCCTCGCCAGGCTCACTGGGCAGGGGTCAAAGGGGCGGAGGGGGGGCTCGAAGGCGGCCTCTGCGCCTGCGCAGGATCAACCAGGCCAGCGCTTGGTGGACCTGGGGAGCTGGGAAGGCTGCGCCGCAGCAGCCCCAGCCAGAGGCAGAGGCGGCTTTCGGTCCCAGGCTGTGTAGGAGGAAAACAGGGACGCGGAAGATGGAGTCTGCACCCGGCGACCATGCGCTTCAGTAGCAGCAGGCAGAACCGGCAACACTCAGAACCGCTGAGCTCAGGAGCGGCCCCTGGCGGCCGGGTGAAGAAAGTGCACACACACGTGGAGTACTGTGCAGAGAGGGAGAGGGTGACACCGCGGGCCTCTACCATGCCGAGGCCGGAGGCGGTTGGGAGTGACGAGGCAGTCGCCGGCTCCCAGGACCCTACTCGCGCACTGCAATCGGGGTGGGCCCGCACACGGCCCAGGGCTAAGTGAAAACCTCGAGCCCGGAGTACCCTGGCTCTGTACCAGAGCTCAGGGAACCGTGCCCAGGGCAGGTGGCACGGTGTGCCTGAGTCTGGGCCGCGAAGAGGCCCCGAAGAGGCTCACCGAATGTAGCGGCCTGCGCAGTTCAGGCTTGCAGAGGGCTGCCTTGCGGGGAGCTCTGTGCCTGGGGGCAGGGAGCACTCACAGCCACTCACAGGGCATGGGCCAAAGGAGCTGTTCTGGCTCAGGGCACCTGTGGCGACAACGCACGTGCTGGTTACCACTTCTCTGCAGTGGTTAAGTTCCCCAGTGGCACTCGAAACAGAGTGCCCACCTCTGCGGGGCGCGTTCTGCCGGTCCTGGCCGGTCCAGCATCTGCTTGAGGATCTCAGGCTCCTCTTGACCCATGGCCAGCTTCTGGGTCATCTCCATGAGCCTGCACGCAGACAGAGAGGGGCTGGGGTGACCATAGCCACTCCGAGCGGGCTGAAATGTGGGCACCGCGCATCACGCCACGCGGCTGCTCACCTGTACCGTGCAGGCTGGCAGCCTCCTGTTTATCTGCTGCAATCAGGCGCTTGGTGTGGCGGGCTTTGAGCTGTGGAGACAGAGGGGCCAGCTCAGCACAGAGGCTGAGTGAAGCTGAAGGGGGCCAGGCGAGGAGGCGGCTCTTACCCAGTTCTCCTGGGCTTTCTCCTCATGAGTAGCAAGCTGCAAAAGAACAAGGCAAGACGCAGGTTGAGGGACGTGACACCATGGCTGCAGCCCTCCACTGCAGCCCTCCAATGTCTGTGTGGCGGATTAATGGATGCTGTCACCACATGGCTGTCTATTCCTTACCTGGTTTTTAAACGAGTGCTCTGTTTTCTGTAATTCTTCCTCCATTTCATGAATTCTCTGTCTAAAAATAATACGTAGCAGTTAGAACCAAATAAAATCTGAAACAATCTGACCATGTCTGATCTTTAAAGTCCTCATCATACAGAAACATTTCAAAACGTGATGAGCGCAGTGTGAACAACTTCAGTTTCCTGATTTTTCATTTAATGGCTAGAGATTATGAGTTGACAACTTATAAATTTCCTTAACTGTCCTTGTAATAACGTTCTCAAAATAATCTGGCTAAGGGTACCTTCCCCATAAAGGTTTTTCCCTCAAATTATAGCCACAAGAATGATCCAAAATGCTGCCTCTGGCCTGTTGGGGCACCAAGACTCTGGGGGCCATGGATGTGTGACAGAAGCATGCCGCTTTCCTAAAGATGGGCACAGGACACATCTGCAAAAGAGCTTCGATGTTAAGCTTCCGTCTGTTAAGGTAGACCCCCGCCCCATGTGCGTTAAATGCATTCCATCCTTGGACTGTTCATATGCTTCTGTGCCCATCTCTTCTAGGTAACAAAGCAACTCTGCCCAGTTCCTCTGCCTCAGACACCACACTCACTTGTAGACTTTGACTTCCTCTGTGGCCAGCACCACCTTCTCATCTGCAGCCAATAGCTGCTGGTCTTGTTGCTGCAGCTCATATTCCTCCTCATTTAGTTTCCTAGGTGAAAGGCAGCTGCCAGGGGTGAGCTAGCCCACAGGCCACTTCCCCACCCAGCAGCAGCCACAGGGTCTCAGGAGGGAGGTGAAGCTCCAGGCTCCGGCCATTTGCTTGTGTTCTTGTATTCTCTTACCTCTCCTTGTAATTCTCTAATCAGCAAACAGAACAAGCTAAGAGCACAGCATGCGCCAGGCACTAGCTGCCTGTGTGGGAGATGAGTGCACCCTGAGGGAAGCCAGGATTGCCCAGCTGAGCTGGCTGGAAAAGCAATGGGCGGAGCCCCCCCCCCCCATCCTCCATGCTGTCTGGGAAGAGCTGTTCCTCTAGACCTAGGCCATGAATGGGTGGACAGGAGCCTGTGGCCCCAGCCAGAAAGTGACCTGTGGGCCCCAGAGGCCAGTGCTGCCCTCCTTCACCCACACATTGAGGACAATGCCAAAGAAGCCGAACTGAGCCCTCGACAAATCCCTAGGCTTTAAGAAATAAGCAGTGGAGCTGAGTCTACAGAGGCAGGGATGCCAGGCTGAATTGCTAGCTGGATGATGGTGACGGCCGACAGGCAGGAGCAGCCACGGGTTGCGAAGCCAACAGTACTCTGGGGCCCAAGTTTCCTCTATGATCACTGCACATCAAAGCTGCTAAGCAATCAGAAGGGACAGGGATGGCCAGCACGAGACACTGGGCAAAATGTCTCGGACTCACTTCTGCAGCTCCATCTCGTTCTCTTGGTACAGCTCCTTCAGGATCTCCACCTTCTGCTGCAGCATCCTACACTCCTCCTCCAGCCCAGCCTTGGCTGCCTGCAGCGTGCCACAGTCCTCATTCAGCTTCTTGATCTGGTCTGGGAGGTGAGATGCGTCACCAAGGGCACCACCAAAGACACAGAACCAGGCTCCCAGCATCCCTGCCTCATCCATGCCTGCGCTCAGCCTGACCACCATGTGTTCAGGGACCTACCTTTCAGGTCACAGTTGGCAGAGAGGGAGGGTCTCAGCTTCACTTGCAGGAGTTTGAGAACCTCCTGAACCATGTATTTTAGCTTGTGTCTGAAAATTGTGAGGGAGAGGCACAGGCTTGAAAGTGAGGCACAGTCAGGACTCACGGGCCCCTGGGGGTGCGCTGTGAGAGGACTCACCCCGGAGATATCCATCAGCTGGTTCATGCCAGTCTTCAGCTTACTCTCCTCACCTACAAAGAGAACAAGTGTGGCTGTTTCTTCCTGTGCCGTTTCTAACACTGTTGTCCTGACTTCCACAAAAACTAAACTAATGCTCGTCAAACACTGTAAAGAAAAACAATTCACCAACAGAACTGGCACACTGACTTTTATGAGAGCTGCACCCTTAGATTTTGTGAGCTCCTGCCAAGAAAGCATGCCACCTGGGCTGTGGCTGAGCAGGCCTAGCTCTGCCACACGATGGTCTAGGGAGAGCTGGCCGGCGTGGGACCCTGAGCACCCTCTGCAGCTGGGGCAGTGCCCTGACCACTTTCCTCATCTCAGACCCTGCTGCTCTCCAGCCTCTGTCCTCACAGCCTGGACTGTGGCTCCCCCATCCCCATACTCTAGGTGACCCTTGGCCAAGGGCCTGAGAACCGCAGAATAGCAGAGGCCGTGAGCGTGGATCCAAGTGTCATCTGCAGGAAGCTGAGAAAGTTTCTTCTCTGGCTGTCATGGTTTATGCCTGTGGCCCCCAGGCCTCATGAGTTTGCATTGTACATTTGCGATTGGTTCATTATCTAGTACTTGGATTGATAGTGTCGGCGCTACATCCACAAAGGGGTGGAGCCAGGATGTGATGTAATGGACGGAGGGTGGTGTGTCTTGGTCTTTTGCCAGTTTCAGCCTTGCTGTTTGCAGCCGCCATGAACTGTGGCTATGCCATGCTACCCTGCCTTGGAGCCAACTGAGTACGGACTGAAACCTCCAGAACTGTAAGAAATAAACCTTTCCTTCCTCAACTTTAGGCTTCAGATATTTTGTCTCCTCAATGAGTAAAAAGTAACTAAGACGCTGGCACAGAGGCCAACACAAAGGCAAAAGGCTCCAGCGTATACATCCGGTTCTCAAGGGGTGGAAAAGCAGCTTTCCCCGCTTGCCTGCTGCTACTTCACCCCAGCAACCCAGACATAAGTATGAATCATTCAGATGTTGGGAGCCACTGAAGCTGGAAACTGACCACACGTGCAGGGCCAGGGCATGGCTGTCCCAAGAACAAAGATCCCCTGGGGCTGCCATGTGAAGAAGCTTCCTCAGCCCAGAGAACACTAAGCGCCAAGACAATCTGAACAGTGGGCTGCTAGGACAACAGGGTGTCATGTGACATTAAGTTGCTAAAAGGTATAAATAAACACCCCTGAAGTGAGGGATCAGTTCCTTTCTTCCCATCAGGAGGGTAAGGGCTCCCTAGGACCTCTGATTTGTCTGTCTATTTTCTCATCCTCTCGTGGTCCTTCACACTAGGAACCTAAAGAGCTGCATGGGTCAGGCAAGAAGAAAGTCAGCTGAGAAGCAGCATCTATGTGTGGAATTAAAGACAAGAATGCTTAGGAGGCTGAGGTAGATTTGCTGTGGGTTTGAGGCCAGTGTGGGCTACACAGTGGTTTCAAGACCAGCCACTACATAGAGACCTTGTTTAAAATAACAGTAAAGAGACGAAGACAAAAAAAGGGCCCTTGAAGGGCTGAGGATTTAGCTCAGTGGCACAAGCACCTGCGTGGCTAGTGCAAGGTCATGAGTTTGATCCCTGGTTCAAAGAAAAGAAAAAAAAGGCCCTTGGGCTAGGGCCAGTCTTACCTCCCACATCTCCATCAGCTAATTCACATCTGCCTGGACCTGGACCCTCAGATTCTGATCCACTCTCCAAATGATTCAGCTCCATGATGCAGTTGGTCAGAGCCTAGCGGAGAAGCGAGAGGCAGTTAAGAGCCTCTCCATCCTCACAATGAGTTTGTTTCCGGAGCGTTCATGAACAGGCTGGGTTGGCCAGGACAACTTACACTGATTCTATCATCCTTATGATCGAGAGCGGCTTCCAGATGCCTCTGAGACTTCTCTAAGGACCTGATTTCCTCCCTGAGTTCAGCATGCAAATTCTCCCAGACTTCAGCTTCCTGCTGTAGCTGAAAGTCACATGCAAGGATCCCTGTGGACTGGGGACTCCACAGAGACACAGGACCATGCAAGTGGGATGGGGAAGCAGGAGTTGTGTTCCTCCTTGTCCCATTGCAGAGGCTAAGATTTAGTTCAGGACCATGGAACGTGGCTTCCACCCTGAGCTGTCAAAGGAAGCTGACCCCATCCATCAAGTCCTTCTGAAAAATGCCTGCTGACTCCAATGCCTGACTTCCAGATGGCACATGTGGGCATGTATTGCTGGGGCTTAACAAATTCCCACTGGCATGAAACACTGCAGGGCATGCAGGACTGTCCATACCACCTAATGGGACTATCCTGTGTGTTCCCCCTAGCAGGAGGACATGTGTGTCCCATTCAAAAATGGGAGCTGCCGGCAGCTAGCCATGGGAATTCTGGCCTCATTGTGGGTGTGTTGAACCCAGATCCCTGATCTAACCTTCCAATGGCCAATGTGAGGCAGTAACTATCAGAGGAGGCTTAGCAAAGCCATCCACTATGTTTTAGGTAAAATTGGGGTTCAATGCAGTCTAGGGGAAAAAAAATCAGGTTAAACAGCTGAGGGAGATCCTGGAGCAAAGATGGTGGATAGATAACAACTGGCTATGGAAGCTCCCTGAGATAGTCAACTTAGAATTCAACAAAATACAGAGTGGGGAGCCCCAAACCGAGGGAGATGAATTCTCTCATCCCAAGAAGAAATTAAGGTTACTTGCCAACCATCTGAGATCCCGCTGTGACTGGCTGATGCTGTGACTTGCCGGGGTCCCGCCGCACCCTGCCAGGGTCCTGCCACGACTTACCAGGGTCCCTCCGTGCCCTGCTGGGTCCTGCCGCACCTTGCCAGGTCCCTACCACACCTTGCCGGGTCCCTATCATGCCTTGCCAGCATTCCACTGCCTCTTGCTGGAGTCCTGCTGTGACTTGCCAAGCCGTCTGAGGTCTCGCTGCTTTGACTCACTGGAGGCGCCATTATATTGAGTTGGAGGGTCAGCGAGCTGAAAGGAGAGCTGAGTTGGTGGGGAACCTACATCGACCTGGGGTGAGTGACAGGAGTGGAGCCATTCCATAAATACGAGGGCTCTGGCGGATGACATTCTGGAACCTGGCAGGGACTGGCAAGTACAAGGGTCAGCAGTGACTTCAGTCCATTGTCCCCTTCTGGAATGGGATTGGTGGAGTGAGCTAGGTCTGGGTCTTGTGAACCGGCTGAGACCCAATAAGTTATCTGAGGTCAAGTCCCTGCAGCAGTGTCGCACTCTAACCACACTGGCCCAGTGGGGCCTCGGAGGTTTGGCTGGTCTGGAGGGGGGCCACGCATAGTAATACAGTAGTGCAGGCCACAGCAGCTTGACTGATCTGGAGGGACGGGGCCAGCACACGCTGTCCCTGTCTGCAACTCGCTAGCACACTGCAGTGTGAAGGGTCATCTAGCCAACACACTTCAGAAAAATTGTAACCAACAAAGAAGGAAACTGGGGCCTCCTGGAAGAAGGAAAAGAAATGGGAAGATGAAGCAACAACAAAAAGCCCCAGGCCCCAACCCTGAGAACACTGACCCAGGACAGGTAAATACAAAGGAGAATGAGAACAGCAAACATGCAATATCAGACACAGTGCCAGTGGACATAAAGAGATATATTCGGGACCTTATAGACGAGTTCAAAAGTGAAACGTTTAACCAAATAAAGCAAGATATAAGAAGATTAATAAAAGAGATACCCAACACCCCTCAAGCAGACACAGACAGAAGAAGGGAGGAACTCAAACACAGGAGAGACCCATTTGGTGAAGAATATAAAAAAATATATAGAATACATGAAGGAGATTCAAAGAGATCACCAGGAAATTAAAAACTCTATGGAAAGATGACAAATCAGCTTGAAAGAAACTAAGGATAGATTATCCAAACTGGAGGACAATTTTGCAATGTGGGAGTATGAAAGGGAAAACTTTAAAAATAACAAGGAAACAAGCAGTCACAATACAAAGGCTAGAAGATGACAGAAGGATCTATAACCTGAGAATAAAGAATGTAAGTGAAGAATCTGGGATACAAACAAAGGAATTACAAAGGTTATTCACAGAATTAATTAAGGAACACTCCCAAACATAAGAAAACGAAATGATATTCTGATATATGAGGCATACAGAACTCCAGCCACCTACAACCAAAACAGAGCTACATCCAGGCATATAATAATCAAGATTCCAGAAATTCAATATAAGAACAGAATATTAAAAGCTGCTAGAGACAAGAAACAGATAACCTACAGAGGAAGGCCCATCAGAGTAACGGCAGACTTCTCGACATAAACCATCAAGTCAAGAAGAGCCTGGAGCAAATTATTCCAAGCCCTAAAAGAAAATAACTTCCAACCCAGATTGATGTACCCTGATAAACTGTCTCTAGAAATTAATGGAGAAACAAGATGCTTCCAAGACAAAGAGGAACTTGGGAAATTTGCAATCACCAATCCAACTCTACAGAGAATACTCAAGGGCATTCTAGAGAGAGAGAAAAGTACTAGGACTCCAGGAACAGTGGCAGAGAGGCCTCAATCAATGGAGCAGAAAACAGAATGAAAAGATAAGCAGACAACGGATGGCAAAAAAAAAGAGCATAACAGAAATGAGGCAGAGAAGATTTCATTCAAAACTGATATGATTGATAGTATCAAGTCTGAGAGTATAGGCAACTACCCTGAAGATGACAAGACTCAATGATACACATTCTGGTTTTATAACTGCCAGTTTTTGAAGTTCTATACTATATACAAAGTTGTGTTTTTATTAACACTATTACGTACTGACATATTCATTCATACTATGTCTGATGATATAGCTGTTTCTATTGGAGACAACAAGAGACAACACAGAAATTATGGTAATGATTTGTACAATGGTCTTATATTTTTTTTGTTTCATGTGTTTATAGGAATATGTTTTGTTTTGCCTTGCTTTGTTTTGTTTCTCCCTCTAATTTAGAAAGGATAGAAATACATGTTAATACTCATGCATGTGTAGAATCTATAAACAGTTTATGAGAACTGAACATATGACACATGATGTAATGAACAGATACTTTGAAGAAAAAGAGACACTAAAATACCCAGTGCTGATCCTGGAGTGTCATAATGTGAATCCCAGCAATAGTATTATTCTTTGTTCAGAGTGATATTAGCCTGCTTGGATTTATTCAATCTCAACATAATTGAAGCGATTAATGACTGAATGCATGTTTAAGTGTGTAGGGTTGATAACCATATTTCTAGGTTTTTGTTGGATAGTTGAACAGAACTGGTTGCAATCTCACTGTTTGAATCCCCACTTTATAAGCTCCACTTTACTATCTTCAATAACTATTGTAAGGAGACAATCTGTAATCATCAACTAGTGATTTCTAATTGTTTATTTTTTTCTTTGAAATCATGTATCATTTCTACCCATTTTCTGTTTTGTTTAGTCTTTCTTTAAATTAAAAAAAAAAAAGAGCTGAGGGAAAAAACTGAGGTCAAGAATTTCATGGTATCCTCAAGCTTTGGGGTGACCACTCAACATAGTATAAAGAAATGTTCAAGCAAACCATGAACAAAGAAATGTTCACAAAAAATGAACAGCTTTTCTGGTGGCATGAAAACAAAAAAGGCCAAAAGGGCTGGAGATTTAGCTCAGCAGCATAAGTGCCTGCCCACCAAGCACTGGGTCATGAGTTTGATCCCTGGCACAAAAAAAAAAAAAGCTCCAAAATCACTTTAGACATTTTCTTGTATGAATGGTAAGAATGCTGGGTGTGGTGGATGCTTGTAATCCCAGCACTTGGGAGGCTGAGGCAGGAGAGGAGACTTTTAGGCCTGCCTAGGCTTCAAAGTGAGTTCACAGCCAGCCTGAACTGCATAACAAAAGCCAGTCTCAAAAAGACAAAACAAAACAAAACAACACAGAAAAAGTGTTTCTGGGGGAACAGAAAAATCTCATGTGCAGAATTTCTCAATATTTATGACAACCCTGGTTCAAGGGGTGACTCTAACCCACCGTTCTCTTAACTTCAGGTTGTGTGTCATGACTTCCTGCCAAAGAGCATGGTGCACAAAGGACTGAAAATGGGCAATTTACCAGGTCTGTGCTGAGCAAAGGACCAGGCCACACAGGAGGCGGGAAGCATGAGCACTCTCCTCACTACATTTCCACTTAGCGGATTTTAAAACTATTCGAAAGGCACAGAGTTTGCTGTGAAACAAAACCAGTTTACACAACTTCTCAACTACTTAATTTCTTAGTGACTCTATGTGTTCTGGAGGACACAGCTATGAAATTATCCAAGATTCAGGATCAAAACACTTCCCATGCCTATAAAAAGGTCCTACTGGGTTAGTACTAAAACACCCACAAAATGGGTACAGGCATGTTCTGTTCTGTTATTCCTAATCTTAAGGAGTTAACAGCATGGGAACAGTTCAGCTAATTTATGAAATAGCTAAAAATACAACTGTAGTAACACCCAGCAGCAGAACTCACCAAATCCTGATTTTGCACGTTTCATTTCCTCTCAGATTTGAATATAACATAAAGAGTTTTGGCAATATCAGTCAGAAATTTATTGCTTTCTTCAAGCATCTTGATTTCAGCCTACAAGAAAAGATATTAAAAGTAACAATACGCATTAATGCCTGCTTCTGTTTTTAGACTATAATCCCAAAAAGAGAAGGATTTTTACCTTGTATTTAATTGTTTGATGACAGGGAATTGAATTTTTTCTTGGTCTCCTGAATAAGCTTCTTTGATTCCTTGATCTATGTAAAAAACACATTCAGAACTAAGTAACAGAAGTCACTGTGCTACTAAAACCTTGTTCCAAGGAAGCCAGCAGAGCGTTTGCTTTATACATGATGGTGCGTAAGATCTGGAGGGCTCAGGGGAAATGATGACGCGAGAACATAGGCCTTCAAAATACCGTAATAAGTGAGTTACACCACAGACACGCTAGAGGAGGGGCCGTGAAACAGGTTCTACCTTCTGTTTATAACTTGACACTTTTTGGACAAGTTCTGCATTGTCCTTTGTGGTATTCTTCACCTTCTCAGCAATCTGCTGTTCAGTGACTATAAAAAGAGGAAAAAGCCAGTATTAGGAGCACTAAATGGAAGTGAGCTGCACAGTGTCTCAGCAGCAAGGACTCGTGTGAGGCTCCGTGAGAGACAGAGCTTCGCACAGCTACCTGCCTTTCCAGAGAGACCCACAGCTAACAACAACAGTGCACTGAGCAGTATTAAACTTTAAGAAAAGGATAGTAGCACTTGTTTTGACAAGACAGCAATTTACTGAAAAGGCAGGAGATACAGTAAAATGTTACATAGTTGGAGAGGCTCACTTCACAAAAGGCACTTGTTCTCTGACAACGGAATCACTTCAAATGAATGTCATTTGCAAAGAGAAACAGCAACTTCAGGCTACTGATCCACACTGCTGTCTCTTGAGCTCCTGTGCTGATAAACCCATAGGGGCCGAGGTGTCCCTAGCACAGACACACTGTCCTCTCTCCACACCTGTGGTGGTCCAGCCAAGCTCCGTCTGCTCCATGTTAGCAGTCACCCCCCTGACCCCACATCTCCTATCTCAGCCAGTACCATCATCCTCCCCGCTATACCATGGTAAGTAGCAACAGTAAAATGTGGAGCAGTAAGTAAGTCAAATCAGACACCAAAGTCACTGTCTCTCTTAGCCTGCCTAAAAGTCCTCCCAAACACCAACAGGAAGAGATTTACCTTGGTATGTTCTCTTCCTGACCTAGAAGAGAAAGAGAGAATTAAATTTGATGTCAAACATTTGATTAAAAGAAATACATAGTTCCTAACACAAGTCAGGATCATAACCAAATGAAGTAACTGTTTAGTTCAGGATAAATCCATACAATTAAAAATGTATTATAAATAGCCTCTGATACAGAAGAACAATAAGGAGTGTGTCTTACTTCACAGCTACACACAGGTTTATGTGCCAGTACCAAGTGAACACCAGTCTTATGAGATGAGCCTTTGTCTTCAACAGTGAAATGCTTGTTTTTATAATACATGCATTGTTATTTACTCAGAATTACTTGACAATCCTGAACAGCAAGCATGCAGTCTAGAAATGGTGACCATATGGAAGACTGGCGAGCGAGATTACCAGCAGAACCTTTGCACTAAGATACACCTCTCACTCACTGCAAGATACCTCAGAAACCCTATTTCAAGTGATCTATTGATGCAATTAAGAAATAATCTAATACACCTCATCATCTGATTTCCCCAGGCCCCAAAAACAGTAATAAATCTAAGCGGAAGGGAAGACACCAGAAGAACACAGAGAAATGACAGCTAATGGCTTCTAGGAAGAGCACAGACCCAGTTCTTCCTCCCAGTGACTTCTGGGGTCATAAATCCTAAACTGTAACTAACTAAAGAGCACAGCAGCGATCACTGAACTTCTCTGTAATACAGACTCTGTCTTCTTCCGAGTGCTATAAAGAAAAGTGTAGGACAGCAGAGCGCAGAGGCCATGGGGTGGGGGGTGGGGGGACGAGTGTCCTCTCCAGGATGAGGAGTAGTGCCTCAGAGCCACTGGACCTCAGGGAGTGGGAGGAAGTGAGCCCAGGTGCAGGGTGTGAAGCTGCAGGGCTGAGCCTGAGAGCCCTGCTGGGGAGCAGCTGCAGGGGAGCAGAAGGAGGGGAGCAGGGGAAACAGCACGTTTTCACCCACACACACTTCTGCTTACCTTTCCAGGTATTCTTTCATGTAAGAAGCTGTTCAGTGAGATTCGAGAAGTCCTCACAGGAATCTTTAATAAGGTGCTGTTTTGGGGTTGTTTTGGGTACCGGGGACAGGGCCTTCACAATGAACTACATTCTCAGCCTTCCCATTAATTCTGGAGACAGGCTCTTGGTAAGTGACCAAGTTGCCCAGGCGGGGCTCAACCTTGCACTTCTCCTGCCTCAGCCTCCCGCTCCACCAGGGCTGCAGGAATACACGCACCACTATGCCTGATCTTGCCTCGACGTTTCTACCATCTTACTGTGTTTCTTGCCCTGTATGTTTCTACAACACAGTTTATCAACACCTCACGGTCCGTTTCCACTTTTCCCACTTCACATTAAATTGTGAACACCTTCTTTGCCCCCTGCCTTTGAAATCCACACAGCAGCCTAATTATTCTGTTCTGTGGATATAAATAAGATGAAACATGATATTCCCTAATACAGATCATTTAGGTTTCGCCCAGTTATTACTCTATTAAATACTATTTCATCTAACACTTTGTATAAAATCTTAACATGTAATTTATTTCTTTAAGATCCTTTACTGACATTATCATACCATATGAAAACAATGTATATTTCTTATCCTGTTTTGTATCTCATTTTAAAGTTTTGTGATATATAGAATTATGAAACTGCTTTTCAGGATGGCTGTACTAGTCCCCAACTCTACTAACAAGTGGATATGCTTAGCTTGCTCTTAAGTCCTTGCCAATACCAAGATTACATTAAATTATTTCAGAAAACTAGCTTGAATTATAACTACTGATTTATATTAATAATTGAAAGGGCCAGTGATAATAGAATGCTCGATGTATTCAGAAGTCAAAGAACAAGTCAATTCACTCACGACATGGACCGTCCTCCAGAAGAAAATGGCCAACGAAACGATTCCCAAACAGGCAGTGAACAACACAGGCTTCCAGGGGAGCCCATAAAAGTCAGGCCGGGGCTGCACATGCTCAGGCAAGGTAGCAGCCAGCTGAAAAGGGCGGGCACAAATAATGGGAACGTTAAGAGAACTGGCAGAGCAATCACAAAGGATCATCACAGATACTCTCAATCTCTTCTCAATAGTCTAAACCAACTTCCAGGTGCCCTGATGAAACTGCGGGAAAGGGGATACAGGCAGGCTCGCGTTCTTGTCAGGTATGTGGAGTCTCTAAACATAGGGAGTGAGTTGAACCTATTTTCAGGTTGGCAACAGGCCCTTCTTCATCGCGGTGTCTCACACATGGCCAGAATGTGTCCGGATCATGCTTAGGTGAGTTGTTTTCTATTACTGCACATACACACACACACCCCACACATTGTAAATACATGATAGAAACCATCGGTTTATGCGGCTGCAAACAAAACCACTATGACAATGAGCGCCACAAATCAGGCATCACTCCTCCAGGATGCTGTGTCTCAATTCGCTGCACCCTTAGGCTGCACACACAGGTGGTGGCGTGAAAGAGGCTCCCAAGGCGATCGCTGCCTTCGCTCCACGCCACTTCCTCAGGACAGTCCGCCCCTCTGCCGTCCACAACGCGCTCCTGCCTGCTGGTCGGGTACGGCTCTTCCGAGGGGACCCACAGCCCGGCTCCCACCAGAGGGCGACCCGCGCCCCTAGCCCGGCCCTGGTTCCCGGCCTCACCCTCAGCAGCCGGGTTTCGAGGGCCGCGTACAGCATCTGCAGAGGCTGCAGCAGCTTGGGAAAACCCCGGGACACGGTGACCCCGAGCCCAGTGGCTGACACCACGTCCATCGCAAAGAACCGCTCCCTGTGGACCGGCCGGAAGGGCCGGACTGACAGTGGCAAGCAATGTCCTTCCCAGAGGCGGCAGGGGGCGGGACTGCACAGCTACACCCTCCCCTTCCCGCTGTGCTATGAGCCGTTAACACAGGGTCTCCAGCGCGATGGGGCCGAGCAATGCCAGAGCAATGCCCAGCAGGCAACCGATCTAGGGGCAACCGAGCTAGGGCACCATGCTCAGGCGCCCTCACCGCTGGACCAGGACGCCAGGCCTGGCGCGCACCGCTACGTGGCTCCCTCCCTCCCTACCTGGCATGTTCTCCCAGGCTGAAAAGTACCGAAGGGTTGCAAATCAGAACCCAATGGTATTGATCACACTTCGAATTTTGTGTCGTGAGCAGGGGTTAGGAAACTAGTCGACTCTGTAGCTTGTACAATTAAATTTCATTACTGTTTTGTCACCTTTGACTTACTCATGACTATAATTGTCATCATTCTGTGTTGAAACTCGTAGTATAGCTCTTTTCTTGTGCCGTGGCAAGCACCGCTCTGCTTTGTGTTTCTTTTTTTTTTTTAATCTTTTTGAGACAGGGTCTCCCTATGAACTTTAGTCTGGCCTTAGGCTCACTTTGTAGCCCAGGCTGGTCTCAAACTTTCAAGGATTCACCTGCCTCAGCCTTCCGAGTGCTGGAATTACAGGAATGTACAGCCACTCCCGGCTTCTGCTTTATGTTTCTATAAGGTTGACTTAGAAACAATTTGTGTGCGTGGTGTTCTGTGGCTGCCTTATTTCAGATGCATAATTTCCTCAAGATTATGGCTGTTGTAGCAGCTATCAGAATTTTGTTTCTTTTTAAGGTGACTAGTATTGAGTTGTATGGATTTCTATGTGTTTTAGTCCTTGTGCTGTGACTCAAATCCAGATCTTGACGCATATAAAGGCAAATGTTTGCACTGGGCTCTATCCCAACATGAATATTTGGGTTGTTTCCATCTTTTGTCTTTTGTGAACAGTGATGACACGGACATATGTGTATATTCTTGCATGTACATTTTTTGAAATCTATGGTTTTTTAAAATAGGATCTCACATGCACCTAGGCAAGTACTCCACTACTGAGGTATGCTTCTTTTTCAGGCCTTTTTAAAGAGTTCTTCTCGTAGTGGACTCTGTTTTTTTTTTTTTTTTTTTTTTTTTTAATCTTTTTGAGACTGTCTCACTATGCAGTTCAGGTTGGCCTAGGCTCACTTTGTAGCCCAGGCTGGTCTGGAACTTGCAATCCTCAGCATCCTGAGTGCTGGGATTACAGGTGTGTGCCACCATGCACGGCTGGTATTGGACTTTGATTCTTGTCTCTGTATTGAGATACAACCCTGGCCCTTTCTTCTTCATCTTCTTCTTCTTCTTTTCATTTCTCTTCTCTTCTCTTTTTTTCTTTTCTTTTTATTGTACCAGCCAATTTAACTCACAACTTAACGTTTGCCAGGTAGGCACTTATGCCATTGAGCTAAACCCCTGATCCCCTTTCTTCTTGTTCATTAATTTTTAACCTTTAGTTTTTTTGAGAGGATGTCACTGTGTAGTTCATGCTGACTTTGAAGTCACTATGTAGTCCAGGCTAGCCTCAAACTTGCAGGGATCCTCCTGCCTCACCCTCCTCACTGTGATTAGAAGCATGTACTACCATGTACAGCTTATTTTTTATTTTGGAATAAGGCCTAAGTTCTTGCCCAGACTTGACTCAAACCTGTAGCCTTCCTGCCTCAGTGCTCTGGAGTGCTGGGATTAAAGACATGGGTCACCCTATTTTGCTGTTTATTTTTTGTTATAGCTGTGTTTTGCAGGTTGGTCCTCCTTCCTCAACCTCTCAAATAACTAGGATTGTTCATGTGTGCCACATTGTCTGGCTTTTAATTGTTATAGTTTGGGTTTTTAAAAAATTTAAGTATCACAGCCAGGCATAGTGGCTCATACCTGTAATCCCAGCACTCAGGAGGCTGAGGTGGGAGGATCCTTACGAGTTTGAGACCAGCCTGGGCTACAAAATGAGCTCAAGGGCAGCCTGAACTGCATAGCGAGACCCCATCTCAAAAAAAGACAAAAAAATAATTTAAGTACTTTTTTGTTGTAGATCTATAGTCTTTTAACATGAACAATAGCTAAAACATTCTGTGTATAATATAACACAGGTATTATAATCATTATTAAACATTAGAATCCATGTTCTTGCTGAGTGTGGTAGGCAGGTGCCTTCTAATTCCATCATTTAGAAAGCTGAGGTGATTCCGGGAGAACATGGCGGACAGTTAACAGCAACTACCGGAGGCTCTCTGAAAGGCTCGGCTCAGAAATCAGGAATGATGCGGACTAAAGAGACATGAGCCAGTAGAGATATGCTCTGCTGACTCAGGAACGAACTGGGCTGAGAGAAACCAACTTGGAATGCAGTCCTGGCGCTAAAATAGGAACAGAAAAGTCTCGGTGTGGAGGCTGGACCCCGTGCCATTGGAAACCGCGATTTGGGTTTCCCGCCGCCCGGCGGCTGGCTGCCTCCACAAGCGGCTCGGCAAGGAGAGACACGCAGAAGCTCTGGGAACAGGAGTCTGCGAACGGAGTCCAAAACAGGACGGACAAGGAGGAAAACTGACTGGTTGCGAGGTGAGTGAGAGAAACTGACACTTCACCACAGTTTGACTCCAGCGGAGGACTTTCTGGGCTCGGGCAGTCCTGTAAGAGCAGGGCGCGGTGGGGACTCCAGCCACACATCCCCCTCTCGGACGGGATTGGTGAAAAGTGCCTGGCCTGCGTGACGCTGCAGGCGGACTTGGTAGGCTGGCCTAACCCAGATCCCAGAGCCTGACGGTGGCCCAGAGGGGTGACTCCCTGGTGCACAGTGGTGGGCGGGAACACCTAGCCAGCGCAATTTGATCATACTGTGGCTGACAGGCAGGGAAGCTGGGCCTCCTATGTAAGCTTGCATTTTATAAGGCACAGAGAAAATGGGGAAGGGAAGCAACAAGAAAGGCTCCTCGGCCCCCAATTCTGAGAAACAGGCAATAGCGGACACCACACCAATAGACATTAAGCACCATATAGAGAGCCTCATAGACCAATTCAGGAATGAAGTTATCAACGACCTGAAGCTAGAAGTATGCAGAATAGTTAGAGAAATGCTAAGCACCACCCAGGAAAAAACAGATGGTGGAATGGAAGAACAGAAAAAGAGGGGAGAATTGTTTGATGGAGAAAACAGAGAAAGCATAGAGTATGTGAAGCAGGTTCAAAGGGACTATCAAGAAATTAAGAAGTCTATCCAAGACTGGCATAACAGCTTGAAAGAAACTAAGGACAGACTATCTGAGCTGGAGGGAAGACTTGTAATATGGGAGAATGAAATGAAAAACTTCTTAAAAATAACAAAGAAACAAACAGCAATAATACAAAGACAAGAAGATGATAAGAGGATCCATAACTTAAGGATTAAGAACATAAAAGAAGAAGTAGGGACACAAACAAGTGAACTACAAAAGCTACTCACAGAAATAATCCAGGAGAATTTTCCTAATTTAGCAAAAGGTAAAGATACTCAGATGTACGAGGCATACAGGACCCCAGCTACCTACAACCCTAACAGAGAAACACCCAGGCATATAATAATAAAAATTCCAGAAATTCAATACAAGAACAGAATATTAAAAGCTGTAAGAGACAAGAAACAGACCACTTACAAGGGAACACCCATCAGAATTACAGCAGGTTTCTCTGCACAAACCATCAAATCACGAAGAGCATGGGGGGAAATAATTCAAGCTTTGAAAGATAATACTCTCCAGCCAAGATTGAGATATCCTGCACAACTGTCCCTGGAAATTGATGGAAAAACAAGGTGCTTTCAGGATAAAGAGGAACTGGGGGAATTTGCAACCACCAATTCAACCCTACAGAAAGTATTGCAGGATATTCTAAAAAAAGAAAAATACAAAAAACCCAGAAATGGTGGCAGAGAGGCCACAACGAATGGAGCAGAGAACAAAATAAAGAAGACAAACTGACAGCTACTGACAGAAAAAGAGCTCAACAGAAATGAGACAGAGAAGATTGGATGATAGGAACAGCTATTTTGGAGAAAATGACATCTTAATAGGTAATACTGATTTAGTATCATCTTGTTTTGAAGTCTCATCTAGCTTTTGTTCTTCTGTCTCCAATGGTCTAAACAGGTTGTATCTTATTGGATTTTATTATGTACGATAGTATAAGCAAAAACCTTTTAAAGACAAGGAGATTATACAGAAACCATTGTTCATTTTCTGTTAGTTGATTCTAAATACTCTGTAATGTTGTCATTCTCTTAAATGGTTTTACATTGTTTTGATATACTTAATGCTACAGTATATGAAGTTGTACTCAAGGACTTCAAGGAAATAGTCAATATGGTAACTACTTTTAGGTCGGAATTATCTGGTGGTGAAACACTATTCTGCTTAAATGGTTATGTTTTGATCTGCGCTGTTTTGCTGTTATACCCTCTTTTTTCTCAATCTCCACTCCATTATTTACTTTTTTATTTTTATCCGTTTAATTAAAGGGGAAAAAATAGCAGGATATAATATAGTAACCCACTTTGACTTTCTATTATCTCGATTTGAAGCCCTGTATTACTCTCACCATCTTGTTTTTGACTGATGTTCCCCTATTCTGTTTTGCTGGATAGTATCAGGTTCGAAAGTTTAGGCATCAGCTGAGAAGATAATGAGATTCATTATAATGCCCATTCTCGTTGACTTTTATCTACTTTTGAAGACCTACAATGTCCCCAATGTTTTGGTTCTGTCGGTTTTGTTCTTTACTATTTTGTCCAATTGTATTATAACTAATGATATAGGCAATTCTATTAGAGATAGCGGGAGGCATTATGGTAATCATTGATGATCACCTTGTATTATGTTTTTATATTATCTATTATGTCCACCGTTTTGACTTGACCGATTCTGTCCTGTTATGTCTCATTTAGTTTTACTCTCTTCCAAAAAAGCAATAAGAAC